GTGGTGGGCAGGGCACACGTTGCCCTTTGTGCTTAACTGCAAACAAGCTTTCTACCGAGATGGATAATTATTTTTACTAACAGCAACATACACAACTGGACGTTTTCATACCACGGTGTATATTCAGCCAGTTGCTTTTATATCTTATTGTTTATTGGCGTGTTCTTAATGAAGTAACTTGCTCCAGGAAATCTATGGGCTTAAATTATTCTTGGTGATTTGTAAGAAGCTTCATGGTCGATTTTTCATTTCTTATTCCTTAACCTACTTGACATACGCTGCGGTGCTGCCATCTGACGGACGTCATCCGACAGTCATTATTTAAACATATTCTAAATTCCTTATTGATCATTTTATAAAAATTAAGTAGTTTCAGTAGACACTGTGTATATACTTTTTGGCAGGAAATAATGGTTTTAAGACATAATTCATATGGTATAGTAACAATAGTGTTAACTTATAGCTTGCACATGGTATAGTAACAATGGTGTTAACTTATAGCTTGCAAATGGTATAGTAACAATGTTGTTACCTTATAGCTTGCATATGGTATAGTAACAATAGTGTTAACTTATAGCTTGCATATGGTATACTAACAATGATGTTAACTTATAGCTTGCATATGGTATAGTAACAATGGTGTTAACTTATAGCTTGTATAGTTTAAGACATAATTCATATGTTATGGTAACAATGGTGTTAACTTATAGCTTGTATTGTTACACACAATTATTTTGTTTCTATTTCCTAGATTTTAACTAAATCCAAGTATTCCACCTTCACAAGTCTAGTAAAAACTGTACTCAGAGTTGTATGATTTTCATGACTGAAGTTGCTCTTACTCAGAGTTGCATGATTTTCATGACTGAGTTTGCTCTTACTCGGAGTTGCATGATTTTTATTACTGAGTTTAATCTTACTCAGAGTTGCATGATTTTCATGACTGAGTTTAATCTTACTCGGAGTTGCATGATTTTTATTACTGAGTTTAATCTTACTCAGAGTTGCATGATTTTCATGACTGAGTTTAATCTTACTCGGAGTTGCATGATTTTTATTACTGAGTTTAATCTTACTCAGAGTTGCATGATTTTCATGACTGAGTTTA